AAGTACCACAGACTAAAGAGTGACGTCAAAGTATTTTCGGACAAAGTCCGACTCACTCAGTCACATGGCCTTATCGCTCATGAAGTCGACTAAAGAGCGCAGCCCAAAAACCTCGATATGTGCAATCGGAATTCACGTTGGGATTCAGGACACATCCCAAGACAGCGACTATGATCGTTGACGGCGAGAGTCGGTGGTGTTTGTTCATAGTAGAGCTCTGGGTCAGAGTAAAATCAAATTGGTTGGTTAAGACCATACCAGACACGCTGGTTTGTCGGAAGGTCGTGCCATGTAATCTCCCACCGGGTTTTATACCACCAGACCCACGTCATTTTCCACCAGGTTGAGATCAACTCCCACATGATCATCGTGCCATGTCGAAATGGGGACACCAATAGAAAGTCGAGCACCATTCCCGACCGACTCTAGGAAAAACTGCTGTGAAAAGACCAGCACCTGCCGCTGTCCAGCTTCGTCCGACTGGCTTGCTTGCTGAACGCATGAACTGAAGCAACAACTGAAGTACGCTGTCGTTTCAACTGTGCTTTAATGCTGGGATATCCAGTCCTCCTTTGCTCCTTGGGAGAAACAAAAACTCTTGCGGAATGAGTTGGATATGGGTTGCACCCCGTTCGTGTTTTCGACTTAGGACAAACTAGTTCAGCATTGACTGCCACCTCCCTACAACCGAGGGTGGAATCGACACGTGCTGTGTATAGTGCCACAGGAGAGACAAGATTATCGTTCGCGCCACCAGTAGCCGACCACAAAGAGTCCTTGCCCGTCGGTACCACATCTTGAAGCCGTCGTAGAAACGTTGTTCAAGAAAGTTGACAATGTCATTGTTGACTGTGGACTGACTGGAAGGGATACCAAGAAACTTGAATGACTGGGCTCGATCAAGCACGTGCATACCAGGGAGCTGAGGACAAGTCTCGGTTCGTTTTAGCGCCATCAAGTTCGAACCGTAAAGATCAAGTTTTGCACCAATCCCCATACAGTACTCTTCCACATGCTCAAGCTGAGCTTGCATGGAGCCTCCCAGAAGAGTCGTGTCGTCTGCGAAAAAACGCCGGTTGACGTGTGATCATCGTTAAGTCACACTCCAAACTCTTCACGGGTTCGCAGATGGTTTCCGAGAGGCTCAATAGTGAGCAGGAAGAGAAGCGCAGAAGCTGATTGCCTTGTTTTACTCCTCTTGTCGGATACAATGCTGGCTGGATGATTTAAGTGATGACAAGGTGGGCTTGTGGTTCGGTGTACAGTAATTTCACCCACTGTGTAAATTCTGAACCACAACATTCGTTCGAGCACACGGGGCATATAGTCCCAGTTCACTTGATCGAATGTTATTTTAAATTCAAAGAACAGAGCATAAGCTTCTTCGTCTCGACTTGTCACCAATTCCTGCAGATCCGCGGGAAATCGCACATGGTGTTGAATCGAGTGGCCCTTGACGAATTCCTTTTTGATCGGGGTGGATTAAGTTGGGGATAATTTGCTGGAGTCGGTACGACAGTGCTTTAGACAGTATCTTGACATCTACCGGGATTAGTGCAATTGGA